AACAAAACAATAAAAACAAAAATGTTTCGGTCAACATGTGCTAACAGGGTCATCTATCTTCACCAGAGATATAAAATGTTCCAGTGTTTGTGCAGATCTAATATTTAGAGACAAACCACTTCCAGAATCTGTGGACCTTCAGCAGAGAAGACGCTGTCACCTTGAGATTTTAAGTTTAGACCTGGGAATCAGTTTGATCTGGACCTTGTGTTTTTTCCAGGAGAAGATGAGGTCAGGTAGGTAGGAAGGGCCTTGATTATTTAGTAATTTAAAAGGAAAAACTAGAATTATTTTCAAAATAAACTGATTTGTAGATCAGAAATTCCTGTTTTTCACAACCGATATGAATTAGTTGCAGCTGAAATCCAGAGTGGATACTGCAGATCTGAAGTTTTTTCTTTGTTTGACATGAAAACAAAAAAAGAGATAAAGTTGTATTCTGTCTCTTTCCATTCAGTGCTAATAATGTCCAACAGTTATATAAAATTCTCCTTTTTCTCTTTTCATGTAAAAGTTACTGAGTAGCAGAAAGGAAAGCTGATCATATTTCTCTAACAAAACACTTAAAACTATGTTCTTCTAACAAACCAACTGGAACTGTAAATACAGCAAAACCATTTTTATTCTTGAGTTAAAAAAGAACAGCCGATGATGAATATAACTTTTTTAATCTTATATTTATATTTAAATAAGGAGCCCAGGTTTGGTTTCTGCTTTGCTTTGATCGCCCCCTGCTGGTGGCTAAGTTACAAACACTGTTAATCTTCAAACTTCTCTTACTTGACTTTCACGTGTGACAGAATAAATAATACAGCAATGGCTCACAAATTACAATTAAAATTCAAATTTCAACATATTTACTAGATCTTACTACCAATGATGAAATGGTTCAATGTTGTTCCTAAATTTTAATGGTTGGTACTGTTATTTCATTATTTAATAAAAACAATAAAAATGTCCCGTTGCTGCTTTTTAAACACTGAAATTATTTCATCCTCAATTTGTATTTGCTCTCCAGCATGGAGAATGTTTTTTAATATCCACGACACCAATATTTAAGTGATTTATATTATATAAATCACTTTTTCCTCAAAACATATTGTCTGTTCATTTCTGAACTATCTCAACATCAAAAAATGTAGTTTCATCCACATTTATATCACAGATTCAGACTTTTTTTTCAATACTTCCTAAGTATTAGTTTAGTTTAGTTTAGTTTAGTTTAGTTTAGTTTAGTTTAGTTTAGTTTAGTTTAGTTTAGTACAAAATACTGTTAATTGGTGTCAAACTGTTTCTTTGGTTTGTTTCTTTATTATTATTATTTTGAGACTCTTACAAGTGGTCAAACATGTCTGAATGTTTTTCAAAACACACCAATTTGTAAACATGTGAGAAAATACCTAATCTTTTAAAAATTGCACAAAAAAGAAAAAGAAAAAGAAAAGGAGTTGTTTGTTGTTGTTTTTTAACCCATTTGGAACATATACTTTCCAAATTGCTTGTTTTAATTTATAGAAATATTTAATTTATTGAAATATTTCATGAAAGTGAAGCATCTAGAAAATGGAGGAAATATTTTCTGCAAAAATAACATTTATCAGTTAAAAATGATCACATTTTCTTAAAAAAGTTAGGAAGCAATTTAGGACCAACAATATGTGCAACGTCCAATGTCATGTCATCTTCACAGAGTTTTCTTCTGCAACGATGCAGAAGAATCTCTGAGATCTTCTCACATTTAATGATTTGTGAACCCATGCAGTGATCGATGGGAACTAACAAGGATTCAGTCGTTTTCTGGTTTCCCAATTCAGAACGACTGTCTGGTGTCAGCCTGAAGGTGTGAATGAAGGTGGATCATCCTGCAGGCAGCTGACAGATGGTGACTCTTACTGCTGAACATTACACAGCAGGAAGCAGCTCTGTGGGTTGTTATGCTTTGTGATCATATCTAACATCATCCCACATCCATTCAGCTACAGATGCACAGTCGATGCTGTAGAAAACTGGTTTACACACAAATTTTATATTGTGTGTTTGCATGTTTTTATACTTCCATTTGGGTTTAATGCTTCTAGAATACATAATAGAAACACCCAGCTATTATTTTTGGCAATAAGTTAATGGTTTTTGGTGTCTGGAAAATGAGCTATTTCAGAAACCATCTGCATGTTACAATTCAGGGAAGCCCAGCCTGTTACCTGGCAACCCCACCAGAGCTCAAGCTTGTTTGGTCACCTGGTTTTACTGTTGTCTGTGCTGTACAATGGCAGCTGGAAAAGACAAGTGCTTTGTTGTTGACCTACCATCCAGAAACCACTTGCTGGATTCTTGTTGGTTGTGCAGGAGGTTCCACTTTTGCTTTTCAAAGGTGTCTGGCTGTATAATTGTACATTGGTTTTCGCAAGACATTGTAAACGTTGAGTTGGGGGGTCGGGCATGGCCAGCAGCAGTTTGTTTGCATTTAAAGTGACAAGAGGTCCTAAAATAGCTCATTCTAAAAGGAGCTGAAAATAGACAAAATTTCATTTTCTAAGAATGACTGTGCAAAAAATGTAAAGAATATGTTTTGTATAGACCATAGATCTATCCTAACTTGTAGTTCACCTTTAAGTGAATCTGCTGAGTTTCAGTTTTGAATGAGGCAGTTTGTTGGCGCTGGTAGTGTATCTTCATATGTGGCCTCTTTGAGAAGATCTGCATATGAGCTGTGTTCCCCTGAAAACTGTTCATCAGCCCCATATTAACTGGATCCAGTGCTTGGGTATCCATCATCACACACCACAGGATAATAAAGTAATCCAACTTATCAAACTTGAAGAAAAAGTTAGAGGCAAATTGCGCCACAGAAACTCTGAGTTCAGCAGGAGCTCCCAGACATCCTGGAAAGCTTTAGCTGCCAACTGTGCATGGAGCGACGCCCCCTGCAGGCCAGGGAGCCTCACCGCTGTTGACGCCTCTGCTGGTTGAAGCTCCACCTTTAAAGAGCAGCATCCTTGCAGCTGCAGGCTGGATTCTGCATCACCGGGAAGAAAATACCACCGAAACAACCAAAACCTGCTGAATTATGTCAGTTAGGTTCATATTTAACATTCAGACATTTTCTGTTCATATATACATCCAAAGTTTACAAAGCACTTGTCTCTTAGGTTTTGGCACAGAAAGCAGTTTAAATTCATGAATCTTTTTTAAAATAAGGTATCTGCTCAGATTCAGAATCATTTCCTGACTCAGGAAGAGAGAACGTTATCTCATAACAAGAAATTTTATCTTTATAACAATCTTGGGACCATTACTTTTCATAATTTATTAATGACTTTCTAAACTCTTTAAAAATATTTCTTAAAGTTATTTTTGCTGCTGATACAAAACAGAATTTGTCTGTGTTTTATCCACAGAAAAATTCGTTGGAACTGGAGTAAATGCAGAATTACATAAAATAAATACCTTGTTCAACTGTAACAAGCTATCTCTTAATATTGACTAATATTGACCTAATTTTATTCTGTTTATATAATCAATCAATTTTATTCTGTTTATATAATCAATATTTGATTATATAAACCTCAAAATTAAAAATGAGGAATTAATGAGAATAAGTTGTGTAAAGTTCTGATAGATGAGTTCTTAAATTTTAAACTTCACATTATCTAAATATGTTGGCCTGTTTTTTAAATTAAGCATTGTTATCCACACTTTTAACAATATGTATAACTCTCATTGAGTCGCACATTAATTACTGTAATATGGTGCAAAACTTACCTTAGTTATCTAAAAAAAAACATAAAAACCTTCAAAAGAAGATAATAAAAGCTGAGTCATGGTTCAAGTATAACGTCCATCTATTCCGTCACTTTGGTCTCCTTCGACTAACAGGAATAAATGTGTACCAGAACCAAAACGCCTGTATGATGGTCCAAATTGTAAACAAATCTAATAATAGACTGAATGAGCTCGTTCCAATCAGTGGTCCACGGCATACTTAACATCATCTATGAAAATCATTAGTCAAAAGTTTTGTTTGGAGGGGGTTACATATTTGGAACAAGCTTGACAAGAGCTTAAAAGGGTTAAAATTTATCTCCACCTTTAAAAAACAGTTAAAGACTAAATTGCTTTATTTACATCTAAGATCACTTTAACTGATGATCAGAGGTAACAATCTGTTCTGTATGGAATGTATGAGGAATGTATGGAATTGTTGTGTTGATACTGTTATAAAAATGTATAAAATTGTGTACTGAGACCGCCTCTGTATCAATCAATCAAATTTTATTTGTATAGCATATTTCAGCAGCAAGGCATTTCAAAGTGCTTTACATAATTAAAAACAGAAACACAGAGTCATGTAACATTGAATAAGCTCTATAAGCTTAATCATTCATTTTAACCAAGACATTAATAGTTCAGTCATTATGGTATACATTTTTTATTCACTTTCAGCAGTTTTTCCAGTTTAAAAACCTGTGAGTATGCTGGATCACTTCCACAACCCAACTCTGGTTCGGCTTACAAAATATCCCATATTATGCTGTTTTTCCGCCTTATTTTGTCTTTCAGGGTAAAAGAGAGAAAGTACGACTCTGAAACCAGAATTGTGTCAATCTAAATATTGTAACTAAAATAAATCCGAGAGTTTTAGTCAAATATTGAATAACGGGAATAACCGATGTTTAGTTTCCTTCTATATCTGGTGTTTTAGTTTATGAACTAAAGTGGGTATTTTAGTGTTGAACCTCAGCCGTAATTAGAGTTGAAGCCAGCGCTGCCATTTGATCGTTATTAACCACTAATAGTCAAATAATTGATGACTTCATGCTTCAACAACGAAAAATTAACACTTTTTTTAACGGACTTCCGGAAAAACAGCAGAAAGAGACAACAAAAACAACCGGAAGTAGTAGTAGTCGGCTTTTTTACGTAATTTTAGTGGGCTGGGGTGAGATACGCTGTTCACGCTATTCTCCAACTGACATACGCACAGATGTGACGTTTCCCTTTATGTGCGGCAGTCGGGTACGCCGGCAGCGTTTGGGCTTCTGTTTGTGTGAGAGGACATTTAAATAGCCACACCGTGAAGCCGCGAAGCTCCGTAATAACGCATTTATTAAGGCAAACAGCTCCACAAACAGCGCCTCGGTCCGCACTCGGCACTGTCTCTCTGCGCGAAAAACGTTCAGTTTGTCCGTAGAGCTTTAAAAATGAGCGACGAAGAAGACTTAATGCAGAAAGCCCGAACCAGGTTCGATGATCTGTGCCGAGCCCTTAACATGGACGAAGAGGCGAGTACCGAGGCATGGAGGAGCTACGAGAGCATGAGCAGGAACTTTACTCTGGAGGTAAGCACTCTCAGATACAGCAGGTGAACATTTTTTTTCGGCCCGCAGACCACTAGCACCAGGCTGCAGGGGCTGTCATAACGTCCGCCATATTGTGAGTGGCAGAAAACCAGTGACAAGTTTACTAAAATCTGAGTTTTCCCAAACCTGAAAAGCTCTGAAGTTTATGTTCAACACGTTTAGATGTTTTATATATACCAATATATCTTTTCTTAATAATGCTTATATTTACGACAAAATCATTTACATGTACACAGTGTAGGGGTGGACGAGTAAACGTTTTATCAGATAGTTTGTAGTGCCATTTTTAAAACGTTAAAAGTGACCATAAGAACTATTTATTGTTACTTTTTTAGATTACTATATGGCTGTGACTGCATAACACAGCAATCATAGACCCACACCACAATTAATACTAATACTCTGGGATGGCAATAGTGGATAAACGTTCCTATGTGTAGCATGCTTCTTTAGGACACCGAAACTAGTAGAACTAACAAACCCAACAATACAGACAGTTTTTGGGGTGTTTTAAACATCATTAATTAGAATTTATTACTACAGCGATAAATTCAACATTTTAATGAGAATTTATCACGACAAATTCTAAACAATAGAATTACCTTAAATTTTCTTTGAAAATTATATTTACAACAGTGATGAATCCTCTGAATATAATTTTTATTACAAGTAATAATAAACAACACATATACAAATCATATATTTTGCATATTAATGTAATTATAACAATCTTCTCTGTTGGTATGCCCTAAGCTAGTTTTGTTTGAGAAATTTTATTTATAATTTTTTAGTCATTCACTATGTATTGTATAAAACCTGTGTTATGTTAATTGGATGTCAAAAACCACAAGAAAACCCAAAGCCATCTTCTAAAATCAGTTTTGAGCAGAATCCGGACCAGTTAAGTTCCTGGTGTGGACACTGTCACTTCCCTGTTCAAATGTCCCAGCTGCAGAAGCTTCTTTTCATATTGGTGATGATCAGTTAATCAATAAACGTTCTCTGAATGCAGGGCAGCGAGCTGCACTGGTTGGCCTGCGCTCTGTATGTGGCCTGCAGGTCTTCAGTGCCGACGGTGGGGAAAGGCACCGCTGAGGGGAACTACGTCTCTCTGACCAGGATCCTCCGCTGCTCAGAAATGAGGTGGGTTTTGTTTCTTTGAGTTTTGTTTCTGAGTAGTAAATCAAGCCGCAGCTGCTCAGACCTGATAAATGATTCTCCTCCAGTCTGATCGAGTTCTTCAGTAAGATGAAGAAGTGGCAGGACATGGCCAACCTGCCGCAGGATTTCCGTCAGAGCACGGACAAGTTGGAGCGCAACTTCACCGTGTCGGCCGTCATCTTCAAGAAGTATGTCCCCATCTTCAGATCCATCTTCAAGGCTCCGTCTGAGGAGCCGCCGCGGGTTCACCGCAGCCGCAAGCAGAGGTGGGCGCCTGTGACCTCTGACCTCACTCTCCGTTGTGACTCAAGCTAAAACATACATTAAAATGTGCAACTCATTCATGGATAGTGAGTTATTAGTTTTGGTAGTGACATAAAACTTTCTTTGTAAAATGTATTTCCCTTTTATTAATAATTCCAGCAGAAGTAAAGCTGAAAGTTTAAACCTGGACTTTAATTGACTGAATTGTCATTTTATTACCACTTAAAGCTTTCACACAATCACAGCTTAATTTTAATTTTTAATTATCTCTATATACAGTCTGCACATTTAAATGTAGATATATTGATCTACTTTAACCTTGCTACAGTGCATTAGTAAATTATAATATAAAAGTAAAAACTTATTGAAAGATTAAAAAAGATAATAATGGATAGTTAAATAGAAACCAGTATTATCCAATTCAACTAAAATTAAATTTAAAAGGAAAGCTCTTCAACTGCTTTTTAAAACTACTAAATTAAAATTGACCGAAAACCAAATTCTGATTTATTTTTATTATATTTCAGCTCTGAATTTAACTTTTCAACTTAAAACTGAAGATTCAACCAGTCATATAAAACAAGGTGCATTAAACTCATTGACCCAACAGTTACTTTATCTTAATGATTGTTTTTACACCCAAAAGGACAATGAATAATCTTTGCAAAAGTTTGTTTAAATGTATTAATCTCAGTTTTTTCTTAAGAATCTTTATCTGTTGTTCATTGAATAAAAACTGAGACGTTTTTAATGCTGATTATTGTAAAACAAACTGCTTCCCTCAAACCCTCTGAAGATGTTCCAGCAAAGACTTTCAGATTTTTTATAGAATTACATTTAATTTTCTTATATTTTTATTCAACAGACGCCATCCATGCACTGTGAGCGAAGTCTTCAACTTCTGCTGGGTGCTGTTTGTCCATGCTAAAGGTAGAGAAAGTCCTAAGCTTTTGCAGTGACTGTTGTGAAGTGGAAACTAAAATCTGGAGTGGAAACTGTCTCCATACTTCTCCTGTTTCCCTCCAGAGACGAGTCTGAGCGTGTCCATTCAGGCTTGGCAGTGTTTCTGTGATGGTCAGCCGTGCCAAATTAGCCTGCAGACATGATTTTTTTCCCCTCATGTGCGGACGTGTTGTTGCTTGTTTCCTGTTCAGGGAACTTCCCCATGATCAGCGACGACCTGGTGAACTCGTACCACCTGCTGCTGTGTGCCTTCGACCTCGTCCTCACTAACGCACTGCTGTGCAACGCCAGGAAAGACCTGCTGAACCCTGACTTTAAAGGTAATGTACAGGGGATCAAAAGCGTCAAAGGAGAAACTTTGGCTGCTAGCTTAGCATTTTTTTACATCTTCAAATAATTAATGAACATATCCAATAGCAAACTCAAACTATTAATGTAAGATGCAACTTTTCAAATCATAACGTATACAAGAACATATTGTGATGGCCGTTTAGACTTGTGTTGCTAACAACACTGCAATTACGTGAATCACTTGAACTAAAAAAGAACTGTTCCAAGAACTGAACCTTGAGATACACGTGTGTTCACTAAAAATAATAAATAAAAAAATATTTTTCATCACTTATAATGCAGCATTCTTGGTTAGGTGGAAACCACTTAACACCACAATCAGGATCAGAATCAGGATCAAAATCAGGATCAAAATCAAAATCAGAATCAGGATCAGAATCAGGATCAGGATCAAAATCAGGATCAGAATCAGGATCAGAATCAGGATCAGAATCAAAATCAGGATAAGAGTCAGGATCAGGATCAAAATCAGGATCAAAATCAGAATCAGGATCAAAATCAGAATCAGAATCAGGATCAGGATAAGAG